CAATTTTTATAAGTAATTTGAGTCACATTTTACTATGATTATTCTCTGGTTGACTGGTGGATCACCAATTAATTAAATTAATTACTACCAGCTATAATCAAACTATTGACCTTATCTGTAGAGAATTAGGTGTCTAGACCACTAGGCTATAAGACCCTAATCTAATAATTTTATTATTTATTTTATTTAAAATTATATAAATTATATAAAAAAAAGCTAAATTATAGAAAATCTATATAAGGAAATATATAAAAAATAAAAGACAAAAAAACGCAGTATTATTCAAATAAAAAAAAAAACCAAAAAAAAAAAAATTTTACTTATCATTATCTGTATCTTTCTTATTATTAATCGTAACTTTATTATTATTATTATTATTATTATTATCTTAGAACAATAAATTATCATTATCTGATTTATTTATACCTATTTCAGGTGCATCTACTTTGTTAGGCAAGTCTTTATCCAAACTAACTCAAACTACTTCAGATTATTAATAAAAATAAAAAAATAAAATTTAGCTAATTTGAATTATTGCAATTTAATTCAAATAATATTAGTTATTTAAAGTTATACTTATTATACTTTGGTCTTTTATAAGTCTAAATAATACATAAAAATTAAAATAAATTCAATTAAATTAAATAAAATTAAATAATTATACCCTTTCAGAATAATTCAAATTGTTTTTACATTTGTGAACTTTTTTCTAATTAATTTGAATATTTGTATTAGTTTGTAAAATAATTTAATATAAATTTAAATAATTTAAAATTATTTTTACTATTTCAACTTTATGCAAATTTTTTTTCTTTAAAGTTATCACTTTCTTCATCACAAGATTCGACTTCTAAATTTATATCTGATAATAGTTTGCCATTTTTTAATTTCAACTATTTTATTCGAAAAAGTTTGAATTTAGTAATTAATTTAAAATAATTAATAAAAATAGAATTAAATACTTACTAAATATCTTGCAGCCAATTTCTTTATAGCTGTATCTATTATTGTTAATTTACTATAATTTGGGTTAAGTAGACTATGCCAGAGCATAGGATCGATTTTACTGTTACGTGATTTCTGAGACAATGATTTACATTATATATCCATTTCATGCATAAAGTTCCCTTAGCCTAAATCCAGTAAATAAATAATTACTAGTATTAAATAATGACTTAAAATCCAGTTTTGCTTTATTTGGTGTCACTTATATACATTGTTTGCCTTATTGGTATTTTTTTTTTATATGAATATTAAACTACTTAGCTCATTTAAAAATTCAATATAAATTTAATATACAGAATTTAGTTAGTAAATTCTAAAAAAAGTATATATCAATAAAACAATTTATTTGCTAAATGAAACAATCGAATAGTATTTGAAAAAAATTAGAAATTAATTATAATATAGTTCGAATCATAAACCAATTAATTATTTTTAATTAGGATAATTATTTAAATCAGCTTAATAATCAAATCATTTATTATTTTTATTTTTGAATTAATCGATTCAAATCAAATCAACTTAGTGATTGAATTATAAAATCAGTTTATAGATAGCAAAAATGAATAAAATATAATTTCATAATCAAATAAATAAATTATCTAATTACATAATATGAATGAACTATCAGTCTAATTAATAAATTGTTGCTTCATAGCATTTTGATTATTTATCTGTTTCATGCATGTTTAACTATATATTATTCAGAATTGGATTTAATTTTAAGCCTTACTAAGCTTTTCTTTGGTTGTTAGAGTCAGTTTTACTCGTAATTCTAAAATTCTAGTTCAGAATTAAAATATCTAAAATGTTATCTCAAAATTTAATTTAAAAAAAAAAGCTTAAAAGCATCAGTATTTTTTTAACGAAATCTTATAAATAACCAAATTACTTCCCTGATTATTATAGTTCTTAAAACTTTACTTATTGCTCTGGTTGATTTACAAATTACTTCATATTTATTATTTATATGATTAATACAAATTTCAATGCCTACTTGCAGCACTTGTTCATGGCTCCTTCTCTTGAAAAATTTGTATATAAAGGCAAAAGCTATAAAACTTGTAATATCTGTAGAGCTGTAAGAACTTCTAAAAAAGAAGAACCAATTGAGATAATTTCTCTATATGAAGTTAGTAACTATATCACGAATACAATCAATAACTTAGAAAATCAAGCTAAGCTTTCTCTTACTTATCATATTTGACTTGACAATGCCATACTTAGTGAAGTTGGTACAAATATTAAACTTATAACTAAACTAATTATTGATAAAATAGAGGAAGGTGATGGTTATAATTAAATATGCATAATAAAATATATATTTACCATAGTATATTGATTAAAAGATCATTTTATTCTTCAATAAAGTATTTCTGAGTATTCTATTGAACTTTTAGCTTTTTAATTAGTGCATTATGGTAGATATGAATAGAGTTGCCTGCCATAATTGTTTTTAACAAGTTGTAATATTACAACCTATATGTCGTAATATTGCAACCTATATGTCATAAAGGTTGTAATTAATTACAGCAAGCAACTCTAGATATAAATATGTTACCTTATTTAACTATATGCTAATAAATTATATTTACAAATATAGTGCTACAACTGCACCAAATCTTTCAGCCTATTATCATGGTATTGAGAATGTTTATTTTTCATGTTCCCAAAGTAATGAACTTAAACAAGAATTTAAGGATTCAAGTCATAAAAGAACCCTCTGTTATAGTTATAGTGGCAAAATAACAATTAAAATTGATATTCCAGCAGCAGAAGCTAAAGTAATACTAGAGCATAAACTTCAACATAATAAATCTATTAAGATTACAATGCTACATGAAATAAAACAAGAGATTAGTGAAAATCTTCACTTGAATCTTATGGAATTACAACAACATCTTTGCAAAAAGTTTGACATGTCAACTATTACGACCAAACAAATCTATTATTGGTAGTCACATTATATACAACAATTCTACAAAAATGATAAAAATTATATTATTTCAGTATATATGTTTTTTGATCAGCAACTTGATAATTACTGTGCTTTGTGCTTTCAATTTGAAACAAACAATACAACTGCTATTGGTTTTATGACAAGTTTGCTTGAACAATTTCATTATAAAGAGATACACTATGACGCCACTTATAAAACTTCTAAAAGATAGTTTGAACTTTATAGCATCATTGGTAATGTTGAAGGTGTAAAACTTTTCTCTTTTTGTTTGATTCATTATATAGGCCGAATGAAGGCAAATCGGGCTCCAACTGGCATAACATAATCACAATATAAACCTTATTTAAAACAGATATTTGGCAAAAATAGAAGACCTTTAGAATACTAGGTTTATATAGGTGTTCAATATATATTAGGATGCTGATAGCTCTATAAGTAAATCAATAAAGCTATTAGACAAGCTTTATCGATTTATCAATTGAGCTATTGGCATCCTGATATGTATTGAACACCTATATGAACCCGATTAGTATCCTAAAGATCTCCTATTTCTGCCAAATATCTGTTTTAAATAAGGTTCATATCGGAATTATATTAATTACATTATGCTAGTTGGAGCCTGATTTGCCTTTAGTCAACTTGTGTTACTTTCTCTTCTTTTTTTTCTATGTTTTCTCTATAATAAATCTTTTTTATTAAAAATGCTGGTTTTCCACTAGCTTATTTAATCTTGGATACTACTAAATTTTCTAAAAATGAATAACAACAAGGATTAAAAACTGAAGCACTTACCGTCTCTTCAAAGTAAAGATTTAAACCCAATTTACTTTTATTCTGATAAAGATTTCGTCAAGATAACTGCTACAAAAAATGTATAGCCCACAACTGACATGTAGCTTTGCTTATAACATATCAAAAAAGCTATTAAAGAAAAACTTAGAAGTCATAAAAAGGTTGAAAGTATAAATTATAACTATGAAGAAGTTATAAATGAATTTAGTTTCATTAATCCACTTTTTATACCCGATTTACAACAAACGGATAATGAATATTATAGTGTTTGCCTACCTGATCTTCATAAAACTGTTGTTGAAATGGTTAAAAACTATTTCAATATACATTCTAAAATCTTTATTAATATTAATATACAATTTTTGTTTTCTAATAAAATAAGAGTTAAAGCAGTTTCTAAAATATATGAATTTTGCTCACAAATAATCTTTCAATATTATGAACCTATTTATAGTCTTCTTGGTATAGGCCAACACAATGGTGCCTTTGAGCATGTTCTACTCGAATAACAATACCATTAGGTAAAACCAATAATATGATAAAAACATACTGAAGAGTTCTGAAGTATTGTTATCTTTCTCAACTTAGCTATCCATGACTAGACTATTTAATATAGATTATTTCTTATGTATTATATCTAACCAAGTTAACTGACTTTAGCAAATGCTAACTGGTAAGATAACACTATCTTGGTTTGAGAAATTCAGAAAACAATGAAAAAATCTTCTTGCCAAACTATTTAATAATGCCGAAGACCGATATTTTATTGATCTTGAATACTGGATTTGTAGCTGTCTATCATTTCTTCATAACTGTTTTCTCATATACAAATATTTAATTCATAAAGCATCAGAACAATTTTAGAATATTCGATTAATATATTTGAATTTCAAATAACAATCTGATTATCTTTTTTTAATATGAGATAAAAGTGAATTACAAGTACCTAAAAATATAGAAGTGTTTAGAATATATAATCAGGTTAATATTTTTGATTAATGTAATACAAATGAAAATGATGAGAATATTATTAAAAAGTATTAAATACTTAAGTCTAAAGTATTAGCATTGCAACATTTGGTTGATTATCTTAGTGAAAAACAGATTGCAAATAATTTACAACATGTAGAAACTGTTGTTAACAATCTAAATCAAGTATTTACTATACTCTCAGATATAGAAAAAGCAAAAAATCAGAGAACATGATCTACTACCTGGTGTAAATTAAAACCTTGGACCTTATTTTTAAATAATAATGATACCTAATATAAAAAAAAAATTCTTGTACTTTAATTATTTATTAATCAAAAAAAAGATAAATAAATAAAATTGTCATTATATCTTATACACTATCAAATATTTTACTTTAAGTTAACCACCTAATTTATATTACATATCAGCAGATTTTTGAAATTTACTATTGAAAACTCCAAAAATATTTAACAGTGAATAACTTTTGATCCACTGATCCATTTTCAACAAACCAATTACCAAACTTTTTGTCTCGTTAAGACGCTTCTAATAGAAACAAAATTGTCAAAATCCAATTACAGGATTCTGATATCTTTGATGATTTGTTTCATTTCAGGTGTTTTAGAATTGGTTTAACCAATTCTAAAACACTCGAAGCGATGCAAATCTCTACCAATCTCGAGGTTCTGTAGTTGGATTTTTGACGATTTTGTGTCCATTAGAATTGTCTCAATGAGACAAACATTTTAGTAATTGTTTCATCAAAAAAGGACTAGTGGATCAAAAGTTATTCACTGTTAAATATTTTTGGAATTTTCAATAATAAATTCCAAAAATCCACCGATATGAAATAAAATTTAAATATTTAATTAAAAAAAAACTTTACACAAAATATAAAGAATGAGCAAAGGCAAAAACTAAAATGCCTAAAACAATAAGAAAAAAAATTAGCCAACTAGATTTAACATACTCCTATTAAAAAATAATTAGCCAAATCTATAGAAATATCAAGAGAAAGGCTTAAAGCTCTGTAAATTTATTAAAAAGGTGATCAAATGATAGCACATTCAACTACTAAAATAATTTTCCTGGTGATTATTATCTTTGAGAATTTTTTTTTTGTAATGAAGGTTATAATACAGTATAGTATAAGTTACTTGTAATACAGTAATTAAGTAATACTAGATACAAACAGATCGATGAAATGACAGTATAATAGATGAGATCTTGAAAATCATATGACAGTAAAATTGATCCTGCGTCCTGGCACAGTTGGTTAAGTATAGTTTGAGCTACTGCTATTGTATAAGCTATATTTTCTTCAGAAGCATTTTCTTTAGACCAAATTTTCTTTAATATTTTAGCTATATATATTCTCTTCAGAACTTTTTTCTATCTTTTTAAATAGCATCTTATAATAATCTTTTGTCTTTTTCGAGCCTTTCTAAACTCAAATAGCATCTGATAAAGCTGAATTATTTATGGGATCTAAAAGATTTCCAAAAACAAAAAACGTAGATGCCTTTATCTTATTTGTTAGAGTATCTTGCAAAGATCTAATTTTTTTTAAAAGCTAAAAGTATTGTAATTAGTAAATTTTTTTTTTTTTTTTTTTTATTAATATAATATCATAGTAGAAACTTTATTACAGTCAGTCTGAAGATTGAAAGTTATCTT